AACACGCATTTACCATAATCGTATCCTACGCAATTCATAACATTAATTAGTTATCATGCACATCATAATTAACAGCAACGAATACGTACATATATATAATGCAACAAGATGCTCGACATTCCTGTTACAATAAAATTCTCTCATTAGCAGTTACAAGGTTTCACCGATCAATACAAGCAAGAAACGGCAATTAGATTTCAGAAACAAAACAATGATATTAGTCTTTGTAAGCTGCAGTGAAATCATCAAATGCCTAACGATAGGTGGAGTACGGCAGAATGTTTAGATGAGTGAAAGCTCTAGCTTTGGCCTGTTTGGCTGTGGCTCTACCACCTCCATGTGAACTCTCACAGTCTGTAGAATACCATACGAGACTTCACCGTTCTTCTTCTTAATCTTTTGTTGCTGCTCGTCAATGATCCATTCCCCTGCTTTCTCACCTCTCGGCATCAAATATACGGGTCCTTCAATTCCATACCTGAACAGTACGTGCACAAACTCAATGATACAGTCATATAGAACCATACAAAGGGACTCTCATACACAATACTTCGATTGGAACATGTCCCCATATGTCAAGATTTATTAATTGGAAATACAAGGCAAACCAAGCAAAAAAATTATTTGATTTTATTAAATAGAGAAATTAAAATGATGCCAAGGTTTTGGTTTGGGCTGCTACTATCCAATCACCATCTTCGCGTCAAAGACATAAGCTTAATTACGTTTACTGAAAGCATTGACAGATTAAATAGGCATCAAGTTCTGTTTACATGGGCAGATAGTGACACATAAAAATGACCTTAACTGAAACAATTGTATGCTGACAATACCCAAAGGGAAATACTGCTCTCCATGCAGAAATTAATGGTAATACAAAATCTTACTTGGGTACAAAAACAATGAAGCCATTTGATCTTATTTTCAATATTCGCGCCTCAGTATCAGTGGGCCTACAAAAGAACAAAATCATGAGATAAACACACACACACACACACACACACACACACATAGAGAGAGTTAGTGTCACCTTTTTCTGAAGTAAATGAGCGTATGGAGCTCAACTGATGCCCGACTAGCCATCTGAGCATTCTTGTGGCGATAATTCAAATCTGCAGTGAACACATGTAACCAAACTTGCATCAATAGCTATACACTGAATGATTCAACATAGCTAAAATGAACAAAAACAAAATAGTAAAAATAAGCGCATGTGTAAAGAAATGCTAATTGTAGACATCGAAATTTTAATATTTTTATTAATTAATGTCTTTATTTATGTTGGGACATAAATCCAAGATAAATAAGATATTTAATTAATAAAGTAATTGTTTCTTGCCCACCAAGTCAAATCTTAGGATAAGGAAAGAGATTATATCAAATCAAGAAGGACCAATCAAATTGATGTCTTCTTTTCCAAGACTCTCTCTCCTACACCTATAAATAGGCTCTCCCTAATGCTACAAAACACACCTCAAACACCTCAAACACCTAAAACACCTCAAACACATCAAACACCTCAAAATTATCAAATGCATCTCAAAGATTAAAGTCTCAAATTCAAGAGCTCTCAAGAACCCTCTTGAAGATTTGAAGAAATTCTTGAAGAACCGCCCGAAGTTTATTCAATGAAGAAGAAGGCCAAGAAGAAGAAAAAGAGGCGGCGACTCTTCCACAAGAAGTAAAGAGACGACTTTCACGCTTCTCAAGTCAATCCAAGAATATCAACGACGTTCAAGCGATATTCAAGCCCCGTTCGTTGAGAAGTTCAACCAACATAGCGTTTGATTCGAGAAAAAGCTATCAAGCCCTCGAGTCAACGTTATTCAAGTCAAAGTCTCTCTTTCCAGAAGATCAAAGAAACAAGTTCTCCAAGAAGTTGTCTTTAATCAAGTCAAGGCCTAACATTTAATACGGGAATAAGTCATTCGACCCCCAAGTTAATGTTAGAGAAATTCAAGATCAAGCCCGAAAGAGGTTCAATCATCAAATCCATCTTTCAAGGTCTCAAGCCCAAATTAATGAAGAGAAGAATCAGAGGAGATAAATAGAGATCGTACCCGCATATCGTTTGATCGAAATATATTCAAGTTGTACAAAAGTTTTATGTTTTTCATAAAATTTGTTGTTACAAATTTGGCACGCCCAGTGGGACCTTCTCTACCTCTCATCTCTCCTCTTCAAATCAAGTTCGAAGATCTTTGAAGATGCATGAAGACCTCTTTGAAGAAAATATACATGGGGGCAATTTACATAAAAAGGTCCACCAAATCCTTAAATTCATATGCTCCTTGATATGAGCCTAAACTATCTACATATTACAATGCTCCTTGATACGAGCCTAAACTATCTACATATTCAAATGCTCCTTGATACGAGCCTAAACTATCTATATTTTCAAATGCTCCTTGATACGAGCTTAAACTATCTACAATGCTCCTTGATACGAGCCTAAACTATCTACATATTCAAATGCTCCTTGATACGAGCCTAAACTATCTACATATTCAAATGAGCCTAAACTATCTACATATTCAAATGCTCCTTGATATGAGCTTAAACTATCTACATATGCTCCTTGCTATGAGCCTAAACTATCTATATGGCTCCTTGACACGAGCATAAAATGTCTTCATATCAAGAACTCCTTGACACGAGAATAAAAGGTCTACATATGAAACTTGAAGGCTCCTTGACACGAGCATAAAATGTCTACATATCAAGATCTCTTTGACAAGAGAATAAACGGTCTACATGTAAAATTTGAAGGCTCCTTGACACAAGCATAAAATGTCTACCAATTTGAAGGCTCTTTGATACGAGCATAAAATGTCTACAAAATTGAAGACTCCTTGATACGAGTATAAACTATCTGTCAAATCAAATCAAGACTCATTGATACGAGTTTAAACTATCTACAATTATGTCAAATGAAGAACTCCTTGATATGAGTATAAACTATCTACAAATCAAGTCAAAGAAGAACTCCCTGATATGAGTTTAAACTATCTACAAACTCAAGTTGAAGAACTCTTGGATAAGAGTTTAAACTATCTACATGTCCAAACCAAATTCAAAATTTTGAGACTCATTCACTAACAAGACATTTTGTCCGTGAACAAGTCTCAAGGGGGCATTTGTAGACATCGAAATTTTAATATTTTTATTAATTAATGTCTTTATTTATGTTGGGACATAAATCCAAGATAAATAAGATATTTAATTAATAAAGTAAATGTTTCTTGCCCACCAAGTCAAATCTTAGGATAAGGAAAGAGATTATATCAAATCAAGAAGGACCAATCAAATTGATGTTTTCTTTCCAAGACTCTCTCTCCTACACCTATAAATAGGGCTCTCCCCAATGCTACAAAACACACCTCAAACACCTCAAACACCTAAAACACCTCAAACACATCAAACACCTCAAAATTATCAAATGCATCTCAAAGATTAAAGTCTCAAATTCAAGAGCTCTCAAGAACCCTCTTGAAGATTTGAAGAAATTCTTGAAGAACCGCCCGAAGTTCATTCAATGAAGAAGAAGGCCAAGAAGAAGAAAAAGAGGCGGCGACTCTTCCACAAGAAGTAAAGAGACGACTTTCAAGCTTCTCAAGTCAATCCAAGAATATCAACGACGTTCAAGCGATATTCAAGCCCCGTTCGTTGAGAAGTTCAACCAACATAGCGTTTGATTCGAGAAAAAACTATCAAGCCCTCGAGTCAACGTTATTCAAGTCAAAGTCTCTCTTTCCAGAAGATCAAAGAAACAAGTTCTCCAAGAAGTTGTCTTTAATCAAGTCAAGGCCTAACATTTAATACGGGAATAAGTCATTCGACCTCCAAGTTAATGTTAGAGAAATTCAAGACCAAGCCCGAAGGAGTTCAATCATCAAATCCATCTTTCAAGGTCTCAAGCCCAAATTAATGAAGAGAAGAATCAGAGGAGATAAATAGAGATCGTACCCGCATATCGTTTGATCGAAATATATTCAAGTTGTACAAAAGTTTTATGTTTTTCATAAAATTTGTTGTTACACTAATATATTTTTACATATGGATTCCAATTCACGTTTTTTAACACTAAACCTTAGGCATGAAATGCAAACATTTGCCCAACTGTGATGTCAAGGCATAGAAGTATCATCTTCTATACTCAAACTAAGAACAATGAGCATGAGATAATGACAATGACCATGAGATGATGTTCTCTCAGAACACACTTAGAACACATCAAATTGGGTCCAGCAGTCGAAGCAAATCCGGACCACTGAATTCTAATCCAATTATGAAATGCTCAATAATAATATTAATTCACAATATCAGAACAGTTCAAAGCTTCGACTTAAGAAACACTAAAAGTTCTCTTCCAGAATTCATGCAAAAATCACAACAACCTACAATAGCACTATGACTTCCTCTACAAGCTCCTCTTAATTTCCAGAATTGACTCAAATACATAATCCATTTGGGCTTCACTGGTAATCCCTCAAGTGTAGGTAACAATTCGTGGAACTGTATGTGAGAAACTAACACTATAATCAACTAGAAAGTAGTTTACAGTATGTATGAAAATGGTTAACTGTGAGACAATGTCAATATCGCTATTGTACATTGATACTCGAGACTCTACACACTACCTGATTCCATGTGAGACAACATGTTGAGTTAGAACAACAAATATCCTTGTCTAAAGAAAAATTATGAATGCATCAACTATCGACAAAAACCAACAATAAAGAGAAGGGAAGATACAGGACATCACTCATTGACAAAGACAACAGTCAATGAGATTATATCAAACTCAAGGTTGAAAAATTGCAAGAGTGATCATAAAACGAAAACAAATATGAAATAGAAGAACAAAAGAAAAAGAAAATGTAATAAGGTGAAGTCCTCACTGTCAGCAATACAGGTTAGTCGAGGTCTTTCTTGGAAAATATCTGGAAGCTTGGATATTCCCAAAGATGCAGCAAGCAATCGGTGCACGATTACATCTGCAAGAAATGTTCCAGGATCATTATGGTTAATATCATGGCATAAATTGAACAAAATGACCAATATCCTAACTTACCTGCATATCTTCGTATAGGAGAAGTGAAATGTGTATACAAGGGAGCAGCAAGACCATAATGAGAAAACTCTGGAGGACTGAGATCTCCACTACAAAAGTACACAGCCTGATAACACGTTACCAGAATAAATAAATAAAAATAGATATCTCCAGCGTACATTGCAGGATAAAATATTCAATAAGCTAAAGAAATTTCAGAAACCTGTGTCATGCATCGTGTTGCCAGAATGCGAATAAGTTTATTGAAGTATGGATCATCACCCTGATTTTAGGAGGCAGGAGGAAAGAAGAAAATCAGACAGTTAACTATTAAAGTAAAGCATGACTCAACTAGAAAAATAGATGGCACAGTGAGAGTGCTAAGACAATTAATATATCATCTGAATGAATTTATACTTCAAGTTCACGTAAACATCTACTGAGAAGAAAATTTATCTCTGAAATTTTCGTAAGTCGCATCAGTCTGCATCATAATGATACTGTTTGTAACCCTTAGAAGTCTAAATCTCCTTAGGACAGAGAAACACAGTGACCCATAATTTAAATTTGTTCCTAGCAGACAAGTTCCAGAATATAAACTAGCATTCCCTACAAGCCAAGCCCATAAGATGCATTATTAACTGTTAAAAAGTAAATATTTTACAGAAAATTGCTTAACCAACCTTCAAATTCTGGCACTTGAGAAGCATATATACATATTCTTTTCTATGATTGAGAATACTAAAACTAATAAGATTATATTCGTTTTTCTACTGATCAATACAGATACATGTGTCCCTCAGTGGGATAAACTTAAAGGACAACTAACCACTGCATGATCAAGTGAATCGGCGAGTGCTTTCGAAGACGTCACATCCAAACAGATACCAACAGCAGCGGCAGTTCGAAGTAAAGGTTCAAGCATCTCTTTAGTGGGGCTTGGATGCCGTCTGCATGTGATATATATCATCAAGATATGAAAAGCGCAAAGCAGAGTTTAACCAGAATTATAAGATATCTTCCTTAAACAAGTAGGTTAAGGCAGCAACAATTTATAATCTTTCAAAAACCTTTCTGCAGGTCATCCTACAGCCATTGTAGCAAGCTACTCACAAAATCATAGTGTTAAGAAGAGAATGTTGAACGGATGGGCAGTCCATAGGTTAACTTACGATTTAAAAATGAAATCCCAATGGCAGAGTCAAATATTATCTGGTTAAAAGATAGCTAGTGATTGCGCAAAAAGAGCAATTTGTATAGTTTGTGAAGAGAGCCTAATATAGTACCTTAACAGCGAGGTGAGGGGGAAATGTTCCAAAATTTTCTTAGCAACTGATATATTAGCAGCAAGCATAAACTCTTCAATCATCTGGTTTGCTTCTCGAATTTGATACATACCTGTAAATAAAAACATAAATAAACATACTGAAAAAGATCATAGAGATCACCAGGTCATATCCAATAAATGCAAGAGAAATCACAACAGAAGAAACCTAGTGAAACCTGTATACCATATCAAAACTTGCTAAAACTTGACAAGAGAAGAAACCTAGTGAAACCTGTTACCATAAACGTCTATTATCTTTTTGTGTAACATGCTAAAACTCAAAACTTAACAGGCGCCTAAAACTAGTTGCCCAAACACAAGTTGGAGCCAACGAACTCTATACCAAGACAGCAGTCGGTACAATAAATATAACAAAGGGAAGCAGGGACTGAAGAAGCTTATAATTACCCACCCACACCTAACAAATTTATCTACTAGTTTTAAGAGTGGAAGATACTAGACAATCACTGCATCACTAATCACAGTAGCTAAAGCATATTTTCTTAGTCAATAGTTGGCATATGAAGTTTTTAAGCCCCGGAAGAAACTCCATTTACTACATTCTTTTCAGAAAATGGAGACGAAAAGAATCTAGCTGTAAGTAATTTCACTGTAGTCTGATGTGAAAACGAGTGAAATACCGATATCAAGGGGATCATGAGTTTCAGTATCAATTTGAAATTTGACTTCAGCAGAAGCAAGCGTTAAGGCTCCTCTCTCGATGCGTTTTTGCCTCATTATCTACAAATTACAGGAGTAACCATTCGCTTTATCAAGAAAAATGATTGTATAATAACCAAAAAAATTACCTTTGCTAAAGCATTCAGATTGCGCAGATCTGTGGTCAATGGATCCATCAAGCGCCTGAAAGTTAGAATTGAGAAATGGGAAGCATAATAGGTTTTGTTTGTTAAAAAAATCAGCCAGATAACTATTATTGTATACCACAAACTGCATTCCCTAAAGTTCCCAAAAAAAAAAAAACAGTCAAAGCGACTGGTCAGTGTGCATCAAAAGAGAAGGAGAAATGTCGAAAGAGTGATGAAGCATAGCACAGAAGAATCAAATTTCCAAATATATTCAGGAATAAGCAAAGAAACATAGCTTGAGCCATGTACACTTCCATAGTCATCGAAACCGCAAGGCACTTATGCTTATAAAAAAAATATAATTATTTGTCTCTTAACTAAGAACCAGAAATAAATGATTATAAACTACTTATATCACATTAAACACAAATTCCATACAATTAATAAAAGCAATGGAACAAACAAGTAATAATAAGTACAATGACTATGACAATTACAAGCTCTTCTGAGTTCTTATGTGCTGTATTTTTGCCTTAAAACTCATTCTTTTGTTTTCTTGCCCCAATTATGCTTCAATGTCTCTGTTGTGTTCTTTCGAAAAGCTGTATTAAACAATTCCTTAAAGGTTCTTCAAAATGAGAAAGGAATTGAAAGTTGTCTAAAAGGAGAGCCCGAGCACACATAACAACGCCTGCCTTTGGTCTCGTAAGCGATGTGGACTGCCATGGAGCCTCAGGCAGACCTAAATTGATAAGTACGCAATTTATTCTAGTGACATCAGACAATATCTAAAAGTAATGGATCTTCATATAGATTTCAATCAGCTGACTTTGGGAAGGAAAAAAAATAATAGGAAGCAATAAAGCTTAAAATGAAAGCGGAGGAACTAATTTAATTGAGTACTAATAAATTTAGACAAAAGCCTCTACCAACATCACAAGGAATCAAGTAAAATGCAGCTATAAAATGTTTGATGTAATTAAGCCTTCAAACTGCTGCACTAGCATCTTGTGAGTGGTAACTAACATATTGGGATTCAGATTATAATGTTCATCTAATTTCAACCAATCTCCCTTGGTATAAAATCACAAATCGTCTCTAAGGTATTCAACAAGATGACGAGAAACATTTTCAAGTGAAAAAGTAGCATTCCAAAAATGAAATAATGATTTTGTCAGCTTGAATGTAAGAGAAAACCAGCATAAAGAAGAAACAAAAATATAACTACCTATCATCCATCCTCGCCTGAGCCTCCACATAAGATAATGCTGCACAAGATTTGATAATGGCCTTCGTGTACCTTGTGGAAATAATTTCTGCTTCGGGTGTCATCTCCTAAATTATATGTTAATATAGGAGTGCCAATGGCCTATAATTTAAAGTACGGAAAAAAAATAACATATGATTTAATTATTTTTTTTTTCTTTCATTGTCTATTTTCCCCTGGGACTGGGAGAGGGGATGAGAAAGGTTTGGAGGAAAAAGCAGAAGGAAATGCTTCTTTCTCGTGTGTTAAACCAAAGAAAAAGCATGAAGGTGTAATATTAAGCAAGTGTAAAACAAACCTCCCTTTCATTTAGGTTCAAGTTTCCTAAATGAGAATTGTAATTTGTAAGGATATTGAAGGAGGGAAAAGAAGAGGCAAAAGTTGGAACAGAAATATCGTTTGATTCGGCGATCCTTAAAAAAGCCAATACTTTTGACTTCACTGCGCTTCGAAAAGTTTCTAGTTATTTCTCAGCTCCGTCCGGTGGGGCTTTTCCCTAGTCCGGATGCGAATTGTAATTTGTAAGGATATTTCTACTTCAATAGATGCATAAACATTACATCCTCAGTACAGGAACAACTCCCCAAAATGTAGTGAATTTAACTGGTACATGGACACAGCTTGCCAAAGCAACAGTCTAGTAGGAGCAGCTTGGGTTCTATACTTCCATTTCATAGGTCTATTCATGCCAACTCACTTAGATAACTAGTTTTCTGCAACGGCTCAACTAACTTAGTACACAAAGAAAAACATCTTTATTCTGAAGCAATTATACAACTACATCTAAACTAGTTCTATAAAGCACCTGCATATCAAGATAAACCTTCAAGCTTTTAGCATCCTTTAAATACAAATGTAAATTAGCAACAGCTGGAGCTGATGTCCTGTTTTCCAATGGTTAAAACAATGAACTATTGTTTCACAATACTTACCAATACCCAGACCGATAATTGAAGTGAGTGAAATGTATTAAACTCGAATTAAAATGAAAAAAGAAAAAAAAAAGATTAATTATTTAATACATATTATGATAAGACAAGCATGTACCCATATAACAGAAAATGTTAATCTCTCGATATCTGAGCGCAATGAACAAATATCTGTTAACAAAGAAAATACATAGCGTTAGGATAGGTTAATTCTTTCGGCTATATATTTGCCTCAATACAAGATTGAGATGGAAATATAAATAACCCAGCGTATTTAAGGACACCTTCAGTCAGAGGTTTTGGAAGCATGTCTATACGCCTCTCAACAAGATAGACAGATGTACCCCTTTGCGCGGCCTCGTCATCCAAGGGGGTTCCAGGTTGAACAAAGTTTGTCACGTCAGCAATATCTAATGCAGAATTAAAGATCAGCAGTGAAAAAAAATGATCATGATTACTTCTGTATATGATGGGGGACTGACTATTCTCAGTCATGTTCTAGTTATCAAAAACATATAGAGAACAAATCTCCACATGCTCGTGAAATAAACCACATCGTAACACAGGATGCCCACTATTTCTTAACCATGTAATATGCTACAACCATTGAAGTACGCATAAGGCGATATTCCTAGGTTTCCTGTATAGTCTATAACATACTAGTTAACCAGCCAATAAACATAAAAGCTATAAATTTCCCATTCTCATCAATGAATTGGTGCCATTTTTAAGCCTTCATCAGTTGATCTACAATATAAAGATAATTTGCATAAGATAATACCAAAGCCACTGGAACAGTCTCGATACAGGCTCTAGGTAGCATAACATAAAATAAAAGATAGCAAGAACAAAATATTATTTTTTATTGGCTTTCGGACTAATCTGAATTTCAAGAAGAATGCGAAAAACAGAATAGCAAGTCATTCTTCTTGTTCTAAATGAAAACATGAATCTTCAGCATCACAGCTCAGTAAATGTATGAATAGATGGATCTAACAAAGTTCATCATTCACCATTGTTCTTGATAGGTTTATCTCAACAACTCTTGCAAGTTTAGGTTGTTCTTAAAAGTTATAGCCTGGCTGATTCAACCTATCATTGTCAAAATTGTGGATTGGAATTTTTTATTGGAAGAATTCATAATACATTAGACAAAGAAAAAGAAGAATTAAAAAAAAAAAAGGACGTTTTCACAAGCTAATATTCTCAGGGATGCAAATAGGATGGAAACCAAAACACGAAACCAAACAATCAAGAGAAGATAAAATGCTCTGCTGCAATGACATCTCAAAGAAGTATTAGGGACAATCAATAGGTCTAAATAATTTGAAATGTTCTTTTAGATAGAATAAGTAGATCATGAAAGGATACGAACTCCCACTTCAAAATGACCATTTGGAAGAAGTGTGCAATGCAATGCATCATCAATGTCCTTGCATCCTGCACCAACCGAAAATTTTGAGTAGAGCAATGCAGCTTATGTGATAGGTCTTGATATAGCATTGACGATAAACGATATTCGCTGAAAAGACAAAATACCTGGAGGATCAACACTGAAAACACATAAATGACGCAAATCTTGCCTAATGGGATTCGCTATATCTTCGGCAGAAACAACCCATGGTAAGGGTGGCAAACATGCCAAAACTTGAGAGGAAAATGGTCTGGCATCAATATCATTCTCTATCAGCACCACCTGCAATTAATACGTTTCAGCTTCACAAACTCATACTACTAATAGTAACCCATCCAGATATGATATTAGTGTCCCATTTTGTTATTGGCATGACAATTTAGAAAAGGCTTGCATTCTTTTCAACTTCCGTTTATAATATTTTATATTACTTCACTATCATCTTCATAGCTGGGCCAAGCACCATAATATTAATAGGTGATACAAGACTTCATGCCGTACTAAAATAACATTTAGTTTCCCCGTTGCAGCAATATTTTCAACTTTTCCACTTCCCCAGTCCTAGTGTGTTTCCCCTTCATCTTCCTGCGAACAATAACTATTCTATTCTTCACAAAACAGCATGCTTCACTTTATTGCTAATGACCTGATTCCTGACCACCTTAGTGATGGAACTACAGATATCATATTCAGTTATTTTGCTTATTACAATATTATCTAGTCTCATTGTACTCTATCTTGGTTTGCTAATGCTGTAAGATATTTGGAACATCATCAATCTCTTTAAAAAAATCAACATAGTTGTTAAAGGCTCATGGCATGCCGAAGCGATTTGCTCATGGCCTGGCCATCAGGTGGGAGCTACTGCTGCCTCTGGAACATGAAGCGGCAGTAGAGAAAACAAAACAAAATATAATAAAAGCAATTAGGGACAGCTGCAAGGGAGCTGGATAGGCCAGTGTTCCTTTAAAATCTTTTTACATGTGTTGCTCGTCAGAGGAACTATTGGCACACCATGTTGAAACTCTGAATGAGCTGTCCTGGATTGCTTAGGTTAATGATAGAAAATATTGAAGCAGATTGAAATGTAACAAACCATTTTAGAAATGAAGCATTAACAGTGAATATCACTAAAAGCAATATGAGCAAAGCAATCAGACATGGATTCAGAAAGTGTATAGCTATTGACTGCACTACTTGTTCAAGTAACCAAGGGTAAGGGTAGTTCTGACAGTTCAATAACACGAGTCATGGTAGGCAATGTAGGAAAAATAGCACTTTCTGAACCAGTGGATAATCCTGGAGTATGGGTGAGAGGATCATGGGCTTTTGCAATCGACTGATTAGATAGAGTTAGGTAAAAGGCTATAACTGTTCCATCACTCAGTCATATATTTTAAAAATGACAGGATATGAATAAGGACAAATTTAGAACATACCTCACTTTCAGTATCTCTGTCACCTATCTGGCCTATGGTTCTTACATAATGTCCAGAGGGATATCGAGACAGTCGATCCCATGAATCAACAGCAACAATGATCCTTTTGTCTAAGAGGTTACCAAGCTGACGGGTTTGTATCCGGATCTTAGGAATTCTACGATCTTTAGAGACAAATAGAGCATGGGCAACACTACCCTCGCCTGCAGGCATAGGCATTGGGTCCAAAGATCCACAATAACTGCAAATGAGAGATTGAAAGTTCAATAAAAAAAGAGAACCAACAAATTTATCAGCCCAACATAAGCAGCGATGTATTTCTCACGCTTCTACGGCTTTCAGCTTATTCAGTTTATTTCCATTTGAGGAAAGAACTTTAGTTTTTGCTCTCATACAAATAATGAATCAGCTAACTGGATAAAATTCACCAATTGGTGGAAGACAAGCAAAAATTGTTTCAGTTACCCTGGTGAAGGTTCCCTGTTATTCAAGTTTATCCAATGAAAAATGCTAATTTAAAATAAAGCTCTAACGTAAGGTTTGATATTATGTGAAGTGAAAGTTTAATGATTGTTGATGTCACGTGTGTATTACGTTAAAGCTACGGCATACCTTATGTTCATGTAGCATAACTCTCCCCTTATTATGCATCAGAGGATAATAGGTAAGAGAACTGTGCCATATTGTCATGCAATATTTTCCCATGTATGTTATGGAAAGCATACTGGTATGAATATGCCTCAGAAACTAGTTAATCATTATGTTTTCGCTCTAATTATCTTAGACCCTGTTTTTTCTTTTTGTCCCTCGTACTGTATTACTAAGTCTTACACGTCAAAGCACTGGAAAAATCAGTTTCATGAAGAAAGGTAACAGGTTTATTCAGTCATTTCACTTACGAGTGCCAGTTACGTTTTATAATGCCAATAACACGACCACATGGACGAGTTGGCAAAGCATTTTTATCCTCAGAGGAAGCCGGTGTTACATTCGAAACTCTGGGAGCATCATCAGCACTGCTTGGAGCTAAATGAACATTATCTTCTTCCTCATCCTCTGGCATACAACAGAAAATGAATTAAAGAGAATTCTTCTTAATGAGTAAGGGGGAGGAGGCCAAAAATCAACCCCTCAAAGAAAATACACGAGGCTTCGAGAGAGGAACATTTATATGAAGTACTGTAGAAAAATTCATGATAGATCAATCAATAAATATGGAAAACCGATGGGCAATGACCATGCAGACAAAAGTGAACAGTACACGTGCTAGAAGGTTAATGTAACATTAAGATAATCAGAGTACAATTATTTTCGACAATTTAGCTTCAAAACATCAATGACATTTCTTTCAAGAAAAAGCTATCATCTGATTCTTTTACTATTGAATGAAACAATTGTGATCTCCTCCCTTTGCTTGGAAGCACCTCCTAGCATTTAGTTGTGGTTTGAGCATATCTCGAATCCCGATATACACACAACGATGTTCAGATAATAATCCAGAAAAACTTCCATCATATGCAAGTTCCTAGCATATAACAAAATCTCAAGTATGAAATACAACGAATGTTATTAATGGCGGTAAATGGAGGCAAACCAAAACCCTGCCATAGCGACCACTGTGGCGGCCTATGGCGCCGCCATAACCACCATACTTCACAAATTTAGCATGGCGGTTTGTTAAAAATCCGCCATGGGTTAACACTGAATACAAACATGTCAAACATTTGACCTAAGAAGGTTTTTACTGACTGAATAAAGCACCACACAACACATACTGATCTAGCATGCAGTTGGGATAGCAAATTAAGATATTACTTTAGTCCAGTCAAGGGTGTAATGACATTTCTGTCCTTACAACGAAAGTTTTTTTAATTGTTTTGCATTTGAAAGTTGTAATTGTATTTGAATCTTGTTAAGCTTAGCCAATCGAGCAGAATGAGGGCTGCAAATCTAGGTGTTGTATTAGCTGGCCGTTTCAATTAAAAATTTTGGATATTCTAATATTTAAGTTCACGATTTGAACTAATAATGATTAATCAGACAGTGAATTAAATCCCATTAAATTTAGGGTTGCATAATTAGGTTAGCATCATTACTATGGTACCATTTGGATGTATAATATTTGGTGGTTCTAAGCTGGCCGGACTCTTCCAAAAGTATTATTATTGGAAGCTACAGTTGGACAGGATTAGTCCAGAGAGGAAAATCTTGTTCTTGATTATTTTCTAATCTCATAATTTTTATTTCTTTTATTTATTTGGTTCAGTTTACCCTGGGCTCTAGGAATATCCGACTATTAATAGTCATTCTGTAAAACATCTTTCAGCCAAAAACAGAAACGTAGTATACATGGCTTCAAAAACACAAACAAGTAACTGAGAGCTCAGCAAATAGTAGGGTAATTTTCCCTTGGAAGTGACAGTGATCGACTTCTTTTTTACTCTATCTACCTTTCACCGACTTCATGAAGTCCTTCGCAGGCAGGACTTTTTTTTAACTGAACTGTCCCTGAGTAGCCAAATTATCCAAATCCAACTTGTATTTCTTACCAAAGCAAGTCAAGTGATTCCTAAGAGACTACCGATCATGTAACAATTTGAGAATGTGCATGAATCATGATCCTGGAAGCTACTGCAACTGACCTGGAGCTCAAACCCTATTCTCCATCATTTCACAATTACTACCCAAGCTTTCCCGCGTAAAAATATAACATGTTCATATATTCATTTTGCAGCAATCATGTAAAAATCAAAGTAATACAAAATTATTAAAAAATTATAGTAGAAACCACAAACCATCATTCATTATCCCCAGAGATTTCTCTTCTTGCCACTGATCTATAGGTAGAAGTTCCACAACCACTATATCACCGTCAAATGCCCTATTCATGTTTGCACGCCCGTAAACAATAATTTCATCCCCGATACTCTCACTCCCAACATATGCTTCAAATGGGTTGTAACGGTTAACCCGCAATTTTCCTTGATGGTAAATGCCATGGTGCAAACCAGATGTAATTTCCGACATGGGCTTATGCTGATCAGAAGCAGGCAACATAAACAATTAATATGAGGCGGGACTATATAAAAGAGAGGAAAAAATATCATTTTTCACCCACAGTAGATGCATGGAGTTTAGCATGAACACCTCAGAATAGATTGTTTTTCTCTTTGAAGGCCTTGGATCTTCTGCGTCCTCCATTGTGACATCATCAGATGGAGCCTGAACTATCAAATCAAGTAATGCTGGCTGACCGAGCGATTTGACATATGACTCAACTGAAGTGGCAATAAAGCAGCATTACTAGATTACCGAGATAAATATGAGGTATGCAGTGGGCTACATCCAAACCGGCGTGAAGTTTTACAAAGTTTACTTTCACTCCAGACTATGCTGGAGTTGAATCATAATAAAGTAGAAAGAACAAACATATAAAAGAATTAGCATCTACCTGTCTCCACAGGAATCCCAGCCTCAAGGGCCTTGATTCTGTTTTCTCTGTCATTTGTAATAAGTAAAACCCGTACTGCATTGCCAAGATGACTTTGATACCACTGGGCCGCAACTCGAATTGCTGATTCATCATATTTATTGTGGGAAAAAAAAATCAATATACAAAGAAGAATATATTTTTGTATGTAATTTATCTATACAAAGTTCAAAAGAATTTAGAACTCCCTTTAGTATAACCAGTTTAGTTAGATAATTCAAATAAAAAAATTAAAAACGAGTATCAATAGTGTTAAAATACAAATAGGGTCTATATTTATCTTTAATATTTAGTGTAAGTGCCTCAAATTCAAAAGTTGGTCTCTAGCAAAATTAAAGCTCCCATTGTTTCATCTCCTTTCCCTCCTACACACATACTTCCTATCCCAAAAATAGATTCATGCAACAGAACCAATTTTTTTTTTTAAAATAACCTCATAAGTTTAAAATAAATCTCCAATTCAGAAAACATGAGTTTAAGAATACAGTTTACACAGACGAGCTTTCAATTTGAACTTTATAGCTCGTATATGACTCTTGGCAAGAAATTAACAGATATCTGAGCACTTGTACTATCAGGAGCTCAATTTATAGTAATTTATGTCAATTATTGCAGTTAAATAAAGACACTAGTGAAACAACAAAAAATAACTGCCTTTCCTCAAAATCTTACAAAGGTAAAGTGCCAGGAAGCGAATACTTTATTATGCTCATTACTCATATGTAACCAGCATGCTCAAATTCAATTACCAGAGCAAACAACAGTATCTTCCCTCATCTTTTAATCTTTATAGGATTTCCTAGTTAGTTTTAAAGAATGCCACAAGAAGTGCTACTAACATAATTGCGATAGATCATGCCCATGTCAATGGAGCCATGATAGTAGTGGTTAACGAAACCCAATAACAATCTGAGTGGATAGTTATCTTTAGAAACACAAAGGATAGCAAATTATTCGAAATTCCAAAACTAGAAAACAAAAATCTAACTTTGCGCAACAAGTTCTTAGTTTACCCTTGCTAACTTCATATAACTGTCGTGAGAACTCCTACCACCACCGATGCTTTTTCTTTTCTTTTCCTTGACCAAGGAGTCATCAATATTTTATTATGTTCTATTTTAATCCTCATGTTCATTTTGCAGTTCTGGTTCGTAGATATCCTGGTATGACCCTGTTTATTATTTCCATTTGATTGGTGGGAACCGACAGCTACATGGATTAAAATGGCAATGTTGTATTTGAAGATTTCATCAAAAGTCAAATGAGATTACTTTTGATCTTGCATCATCAAATTAAATGGGTAAAGTGTGAATACAAATAAAGCATCTAGAAAGGCAAATGGGAAAAGAAGAGTGTTTTACATGTCAAGTAGAAGTATCATTAACTGATAATTAAATTTTCAAAAGTTTTTTAACAGAAAATATTAGTTGTATTTCATCAAAACTGACAAATTCAATAACTAACACCGTCAAGGGAGTGCAAAACAAATTACGAGAATACGGGCATAAACCAGGAATGTGTAAATTTCATTTAGACTTTTGTTTTGTTCAATGATGAAAGGGAAAAATAAAAACGGAAACTATCACAAAAAGCTTCTCCAGAATTTTGAGTTGCACAGATAAAAGGTAATGAATGCAATACCTTTGTTCTAAAGGGAATCTATACAAATTCTTAATTTCCTTTTGGAGCATGCATTTTATAGACCAGAAATGAACGTGCTTTGCAAAGCCTTTTGAAGGAAATTATATCTTTTATCTATGAAAAGGCCTAACGTGCCTCCATGGATTTCCATATTCATATGCCAACCGTTAGAAAGGGTAAAAAATTTAGGGGAATTGGAGTCAAATAAATAGGAACTGTTATTCTTCTTTTTGTTCATCTCATTTTGCAGAATCCATGGAGTCTTGAAATTTATGGATATATCATACCTCTGTCATTTCTATCATTTGGACTTTCACCAGTCTCAATCTTCACATATGTATCCCTATAAGCAGAAGAAAAAAAAAATAAGTATGCATTCTTTAACCTTAGATTACTCCACACACACACACATATATACATATAAAGAGAGAGAGAGAGAGAGAGAGAGAGAGAGAGAGAGAGAATATATATACACACACACATATATATATATATATATATATATAGAGAGAGAGAGAGACATATGAAAGCATATGTTACATATCAATTTACTAGCAATAACTCGGAGAGAAATTAATCAAAATCCAGATTCCAGTATACAATTTAAACTACAAAATTATACCATACAGATCTTAGCATAGTTATTTCCAACCTCACAACATAATTGGCATCTTAATAGAGCATTCATTGCCCCTGGTCAGCTTACACATGATGATCCACGAAACCTAGATGCAAAGTATGAACCGCTAATCCCGTCAGCCTCAGTTAATCTAATGTAAAATGCAAAACTATCGTACCAGCTACATTTCACTAAATGCAAAATACAGTTCGAGACAAATTATTAAAATCTGATTATCACAAAAACTACAGAATATGAAGACAAGATCAGAGATGAATTTTGATCAAGCAGAAAGGACATTTTAAGAAAATAAAAAACCATACTGATGACACCACCATAGGTACCGGTAACATTAAAATCAATATGAACAAAGTATAAATCAAGATGAGGATAGAGGCAAGCAAAGCAGAGACCTAGGCTACATATAAGAATCTGATTATCAAACAAAACAGTAAAACTAAAGAAACATCTGAATATATAAAGTACTCCACAAATGGTTGCTAATCATACAGAAAAGGAAGTATAAAGCGACTAAAACACCGAGCTGATGACACAATTTAAGTAGTATTAACAATAATATGAAATCAAATGAAAAAGGCACAATCAAAATTCAGATACGGGCATACTTGTGGTATTCATTGGAAAAGACAAAGAACCTCCTAAGCTGGTTGCTGCAAAGCGCCCTTAGTCTATTATATACAGCAAGATTTCTGTTTTTCACCTCCTCCAACACTACTGATAACACCACCACGTCATTCATGGCAGAATTTTCCAGCAGATCAATCTATCATATCCCAAACAAAAAAAAAAAAGGTAAAACACAAAAATGTAAGCAAAATTCAAAAGCTTCAGTTATAAGTGGCACTCAATTTCCTGAAATTAAATAGGAAAAAAGGAAAAAAAAAATGTGAAATTTGACCTGATGAAGTACAACATTGGTATCAACAATGATGATAGTTGAGGCAGTGGAACTGAGGCGTGCCACCGCAACATCGCAAACTTTGCAAAAAGGGACACCACAGTATATATCGTCCCTTAAATAGTGTTCTCTTACAACCTGCAAAACATCTGACTAGTTAAATTTAAGCTTCAATACATGAAGCTTAAACAGGAACAAAAAAGCTGAAAAACAGAACACATACGGGAGAGGAAGAGAGAGAGAGAGAGAGATTATAGTCTATAGGGCATATAAGGACCTTGACTACTTTCCCTTGCTTGGTTTTCTTGACGAAAGACTTGCTCTGCAACATTCTGAAGAAGTTTTCGTCCTCAATTGGAATCCGGCAGGAGGTGCGTCCTTTGGGAATTTTGGGGCGGCGACTACCGGCTGGCGTGGGAATTAGTTCAAATGACCCATTGCCAATAAGAAATTGGGTAAATGACCCTTGACCAAAATGGGTGCAATAAAACTTAATAAGATATCTATACTTATATTAAAGGAACCTATTTACTAAATACAGTAGGTAGAAAAGTCAAACTTAATTAATTAACTTCTAATTTTATCAAGTAGTAATTAATGTATTTATAATTTAGTAGGTTGAAAAGTCAGCGTAATTAATGCATGTAGATTAAAAAGGTAATATATTTGTCTTGTATTGTTTTTAAATAAAATGGTTAATTTCTTTCAATCTTTATTTTATATCGCACAGGCTTATATGTCTATCATCTACACTATTGTATACACAAAAAATAAGTAATATTAATATCTTTCATAATAGTAATATCAGAGTATCGGACCTTGGACTACTAAAATATCGAATTTAAACAAACTAAAATTATTAGGCCGTAACATTTTAATTTTTATTTTTTCAAACGGCTAGCTCATAATAGAACTATGAATCAGTGATCTACCTATGAAACTCAGATAGATTATAAATATAAATTATTGTAGAACAAGCAATAAATATTCAGAAAGTAATAATAATAATAATAAACCCTTTGTATTGTATTTGAGACTCCCAAGAGTTGAACAATTCCGGCGACCTAAACATTTTTTAAAATCAACAACCCTTATACTTCTTCAATAAATATCATAGTTTCATGTAAAAATTGAATACTTTACAAACAATATAAATAAAAGTAAAACAAAGACATATTATAAAATAAAGATTGAAAAAAATTAATCATCTTTATTTGTCTTATATCGCACAGGTCTATACGTCTATTGTCTATACTTATATAATAAGGTATCATATATTCCTATTTACCAAATGTAGTAGGTTGAAAAGTCAACATAATTAATGCATTACTATTTCTATCCAGAATTTTATTTATTTTTCTTATATCCCATAAAATCAGTTTAAGAAAAAAAAAATCTCATAACATCTGACAAGTAAAAAAAAAAATGACGTAAAATCTTTACTAAAATAAAAAATACTTTATTTATTTGTCTTATTCCATATTAACATCGTTTTGTCAAAACAAATCCCATAAAATCAATGAAGTCAAAATTTGTACATAAAGTCTATCTATACTAAAAAAAGGCAGATTCAAAATTATTTATCTAATTCCTTCTTTTTCTTATCTAAATCCTTCATTTCCTTATCTAATTCCTTCTTATTATCTAATTGTATGAAAATTTGTTCTGATTTTGTTCAATCTTCTAATTGTATTTGTATTATATCCCATAAAATCGGTTTAAAAAAAATTCTCATAACATTCGATAAGTAAGAAAAAAAGTACATAAATATTTACTAAAATAAAAAAAGGCTTTATTTATTATCTAATTGTATGGAAATCTGTTCTGATTTTATGGTACGTACTACAAATTGTGCACCCGTGTTCAGGAGCTACTTAACGGGCAAGCTTTGTGGAAATGACTCATTAGTGCTTATGTCCTGTGCATAAGGTATGTATTTGAATTACACATACTAGAAAATTGTGCACCCCGTGCATTGCATGGGCTTTGTACTAATAAATGATCTTAAAATTATGCACCACGTGCATCACCCGTGTTCACATTTTGGCCTATTACAGTCACGTACTATATATATCCCGTACATTTTTGTATTTATTTATATCATTATAAGACTGGATAAATGACCTTAAAATTGTGCACCCCGTGCATCGCACGGGCTCTGTACTAGTTATATTAAATATGAAGTTATTAATATGTCCTTTTGAATATTAATTAAGTTACATCATTTTTCTCTCTTTTCTTCTTTAGTTTTTTCTTCTTCATTTTTTTCTTCCCGCGACCCCGCTCTCTCTGCTCTCTTCTTCATCGTGCCTGTGACCTGCTCATAGCTCTCTCGACCTCCTCTCTCGGAAATCTCCTTCTCGCTCTCGCCCTCGCCCTCTTTCACGCAATATCACTATGGAACTCTCTCTCGTCAACTTAGGTAGGAATTTTTTCTTTTTTTTTTCAATGTGTTCTTTTATTTATTTTTTTATTTCCTTTGATTGTGTTATGTTTTTTTTTTCGGAACGATAGAAATTTTATATAAGGCACAAAAGTGCAAATACAAACTGTTGATAAACGGATTTGATCAACCTTTTTTAGTGTTAAACTTTTGGATTAATGCAGAAAAGAAGCGATTCTATTGATTAAACGTGGGATATTTTAGAACTGGTTCAAGTCGGTAGTTCGGACTTGAAGTCGGGTTTTCCCTGGTACAATAATGTTGAAATGGGCGGTGAACCGAGGTGGTTAATACAGAATTTAATGTGTCGGAAAAAGATCCGCGTATCGTGTTTAATGTTGCTATTTATAGTAACTGTGGGCTCGTCTTTTGAGAGGATGCGGCGGCATTTAATGCAGTGTGACAGGGCGCATGCTTTTTTCAACAAGTGGGACCCCTTAGCAATGATGCCCTCACGTGGCTCTCAGACATCTGATGGACGGGCATTTAATGCTGCCTGTCGGTACCGACGTCAACCCGTATTTGGGTCGGCTTTACTGCGAGGTCGGTATCCTGATGTAGTCGGTCCTCCGAGGTCGGCTTATACAGCTCGGGTGGCGTTCTCTTCGCTCTCCTCGGCTCGATCCCTCATCCTTTCTTTTATCCACGTGTCATTCATCCGACGTCCAAGAGAATTTTTATGTCAACACAAACATCAACTGACAACACACAGCCACCAGCCGAATAAAACTGAGAGGACAGGACGAAGCCCGCCTAAAGACGACCCTAACAGGGTAATAAACACCCAACACAAAGACTCGACCCTAACAGGGTAATAAACACCCAACACAAAGACCCAACACTAAAACGGCCCCAACAGGGTAATTCCCGAGTGTGTGGTCCCAAAAGGATAATAAGTTCACACTCGACTTTGATTGTGTTATGTGAATTCATCTAATTTTGCTAGTTTTGATGAAATTGAAGATGATAATGGGTGCACTCAATGTGTTTGATGTAATGCTTGTAAGATTGAATTAATGAAGTGAAGATAGTAAAAGGTGCACTCTATGTGTTTGATGAAATATTTAATATGTTACTTGTTGTATACATGGAAGCAATGAAGCTATCTTCGTTATATATTACACTAGAGTGAATACACACTCGTTATTATGCGATAACGATAGTTATTTTTTTTTTACAAATTGATGGAATCCATTAAAAATGACTTAAATTATGACTATAACAAGTAAAATATCGTTATAATGTATGAAATAGCGAAGGTATAGGTGTATTTAATCGACCGGGATAGAAATGTAACCATAACGATATAAATTCGTTATGTTGAAAATCATAACGAATTTACTCTCGTTATGGCTATTTTGATTGAATGACGTGTTTACGATTCTATCTTCGTTATATATGACATTAGGACGATAGTTTGAACTCATTATAGTGTCGAAGTAACATGCTTTAAGGTTGTTAGGTTCAAAGAATAAAACAAGCTCGATATAGAATAAAAAATCGTTTTATTAGTATCCTTTAGAAATGAGTTAAAATATATTGTGATCATAATAACTTTAACGAGTAAAATATCATCGTAATGTATTATGTTGTGATCATATCATCCATGCTGAGATCATGTACATCCGGGATTGTGTGTGGTTCATCGGGGGGCTCCTCCTGGGGGATTGTGTTAACACAACCTGATGATTTGATCATATTAGGTTTTTAAGTGTATTATGAAACTTGGTAAATTAATAGAATTTGTGCATTTATGTTGCGAGTTTGATTGTGGGATGTTTACTATCAATTTTATAGTATTTTTGCATGCTGGGAAGAATGTTGAAGGCGTAGATCAATCTCGGATTAGTGCTTGGCGTGTAAAACTAGCGGCTGAAATATTTGGTGTTCATTTTTATCCATAGTTTGTTTTAAACATTCAATATGTAACGGGTTGTAGGGATCTTTTGGATAATACATTTTTGTATTATTTTTCATGTGTCTTTCAATACAATGATGCGGGTGGTCGATTTGTGAAGTTGTATTTTTTATGTACTTCCCAATGCAATGGTTATAATAATAGTTTATGAAAATGGTTAAAAGTATTAATGTAACGAGAAGTTTTAATGTAATAAAAAACGAAGGGGTTCGATGTCGAGCTCCTGAAAATAATTCAAGGAACATATTACAAGTTGTTTGAAAAAAAAAAAAAAATGAATGTCGCGGGCGCGGCGTCTGTCACGGCCGCGACAACCTGGCAAATTCTCTGTCCAAGAAGGAACAGGCCCAGTGTCGCGACCGCGACATATAATTGTTTCAATATAACGATTATTCAATCCTTATTTTGTATGATATAACGATTGTACAACGTTATAATTAAAAAAAAAACCTTACTGTCGCGGGCGTGACGCCCGTCGCGGCCGCGACATCCTGCCAAGTTCTCTGTCCGAGAAGGAACATGCCCAGTTCTCTGCGAAGTTCAGGGTCGGTTAAGGTGCATTTGTTTCGACACTCTAACACCTTCAAACTATCCTTCCAATAACATGTAACATTAACATACAATCTTTATCAAGTAACTCGAAGAAAAAAAAAACATACAGAAAGCGCGTTTTGGACGAATAACAACTATAACGACTGTACATTCGTTTTTCCATTGGAATCACGAATGTACATTCGTTATTGTTGTTTTTCGTAACAAATGCACCTTAACCGACCGTGCACTCGTCAAATAACACATTATGAAGATGTTAAACTCGTTATGGGTCTCATTTTGGTCATTTTTAAGTTCAAATGTCCCGGAATTAAAGCGTGGAACCTTTTATTCATGTTAAAAAAATTAAACAAAAAAAAATTGGTGTCGCGCCCGCGACGTCCTGGGAGTGGTTCTGTCACCTTAAGTGTCGCGCTCG